TACTAATGGACATGTCTTAGAGATGAGAATTGTGGAACTCCGAAGGAAGAGAGGAAACGAAGTTTCGGTCTATCTTTATCTCTCTCAAAATATGTAGTACCGTACTTAAGACGTTATGAGCCTCTTCTGGATAATTTATTATTTCCTAATGTCTTATACAGCTTTACGTTTAACTTCACTTTCTCTGATTTTTAGCATTTTTAGTATTAATGACGTATGAATTATACGGTTAAATATTTTAATCAATAAATTTATATGCCGTGCTTGTCATGAAAACTGAGCGCCAATCATCTATGAGGAAAGAGATAGTGCTAGACCCGAAAGCATAGGCCATCTCTCTCACTCTTTTCAAACCAAAAAATTACTAAAGATTATACGAGTACGGCATGTCCTTTAGTATATGTGGATGAAAACTATTGCTAAAAGTAAAATTTTTAAGTTTAATATTTTATCTATTACATATTTTTTTACAAAACCATTTTTAAAATATATCGTAATGAACCTGGAAATATTTGTTTCCAAATAGAGATCGTGTATATAGTAAAATTATTATCAAGTCGATTTTAAATGTACTAAAATACATAGTTAACCATAGTATTACCCTATTATAATATCAAAGAGGAGTCGTTTATCGTTCTTATCTGACTGCTAACAGAACATAGCTGAGTTTATACGAGAAAGTTGATAATTTATTTCTTAATAAACGGCAATGAAAGCGATACATAGCGTTATATCTACTGGAAGATATTTAATAAGTTATGTATAATAAATTGTAAGTGAAAATTAAAACAATGTTCATTTCAGGTACTAAGGAGATTTTATTCACTACGTTTAGATTTAGTTAACAACTAATTTAAAACTAATAAAATATACGAAAACTTTGTGTGCATCTTCAATATAAGTTTAATCAATATAATTTTTTTTTTAATTTTCTTTCATTTTACACAAATTTTTTTTTTTTTTTTTTTTTTTTTTTTTCTACGAGGGGAATCTTTTAAAGACTTCCTGCCGCGGGGGAAACGCGACAGGGGCATGTGGGATTTCCACCCACTAAACCACCTCGGCGTTCTCTGCGCTGTGCGTAGACTAGTGAGCGGGAACGGCAAGCCATACTTCCGCTCACTACGCACGAGTCCCGAAGGGGACTCCGCCATCGGCAGGGGTATCAGTGGCTGACCACACCACCCCTCCGACTCAAGAGCAGCGTGCCGGGAACGCCAAACACGCCGCTCTTCCTCTAGTCTATGTTATCCGGACGCCGGTTCCCCACCGACGCCCGGAGGCTCCTCACTGGGGAGGCAGGTCGCGGGCATAAGCCCGCTGCCTTCGACCCAGCCTTCGTCGGCGCAGCGGCGCCGAGGAGGGGTCGTCTTCCCTCACTCGTTCAGCAGCCTCCTTCTGCAAGATGACTCTCTCGCTGAAGTCGGCCACCGCCTGCCATGCCCTCTCGCTGCCGACCATGGCCTGGACCACTGCCGGCAACGAAAGGTCTGCGCCAACCACGCGGATGAGTTGGCTACGCTCGGATATCCACGCTGGACATTCCATCAAGGTGTGGTCAGCGGTGTCTTCCACGCGACTGCAGTGGTGTTCATTTTACACAAATTTGTATCATTTTATGTCAAGTAAAAATATCAGAGTCTAGAAAACATCCTTATAGTGCCAATGTTTTAATAACATCGAAAATATTTAAAACTTATTTAATAAATTTTTAATTTAATCAAATCATATATAAATATTTACGAATATGAAAAACATATATTTCTCTAAAATAAATTTATTAGGAGATGTTAAAATATACCTACCTGGTCAAATATCCAAAAAAGTACTTTTTCGTCCCAAAATGATTTACTAAATTAACACCAAATTATATTCATGTCCTTTCTAATATAATTCTATAAAATACTGGCCACGAATTTAACTAGTTCATTATAGCAATCGATTACTATAGTTTTGATGTTTTTTGTACATATGTTTGTCAATAAAGGAATAATGGTTCGTATTTCTTTTCATTAATTATAATTAACGAATGCGTATACACAATACACGACCGACCACCGCTTAACAAATCAATCGTGAACTAAACAAGTGATACCACTTAGTTGACTTGTAACTCACCTATGTACCTATTTTATGTATTGTCCCATAACTCCTTCGAACTCTAAAAATATATTTAAAAAAATGGAATAATATGATTTTTTATTTACTCTTTAGTAATTTGTATATTTTTAAGATAACACATCTAAATTCGATCTATTTTCTTCATGGCACTCCTGTAAATGACGACTTAAATTTTCTATCACTGCACGGCATGTGCCCCTGAAATGCTCGGCATTTTTCGCCGAATATTTCTTTTTAGTTCATCATTTGACCGTAAGATTTGTTACGGAGACAAAAAGACAGAAGTTACCTCAAACAGACATAAGCAATGTCCTCTCTGGTAAAACACTCGATGGATTCTGAATTCCAAAACACCGTTGGTTCAACCCCCACGAGCCATTTGTATTTTATTCCAAATTCAAATTTCAACGGTCTTATGGGACACACTGTTATGTTGATAATTGGAATATATAAATTTTATTTCATATTTCATCGGGTTAATAGTATTAAATATTTTGAAATCCCTTAAAGTCAAATAATAATATTTATCCAACTATTCAAACATTTTCTTTGTTGGCTGTTTGTGTAAACGGTTTCTCCAAAGATTTAAGAACATAACAACGGTTGGTAGGTGGTGTTGGGTAACGAGTATTTAAGTTAAAAACATGAGTTAAGAAATGATAATGAATATAGTTAATTTCAATAAGCAACATATTATTCAAGAAGAAATATTTTTTTCTGCTAACGGTCAAAATCAGTTAGGTACATAAAACGTTTCTCGTTTCTCATTCAATAAGCTAAGTCTATACAGTAACGACAGGATTTATGAGTGAAAACTGTTAACGGTTCATATGCAGTGCGACAACGCTGAAAGTAAACTTGAGGTAATCGTGCAATTAAGATAAGAATACAGTATAACATAGCTTGGTAAAATTTGAAAAAAAAATTGTGATTTTTCATTAATATGTCAAATTCTTCATTCGATATGACAGTAAAAAGGATCCCAAGGAAAAGATTTATCATCACCCGGTCATACAACATAAACATACTCAGAATTAGTGTATTATATGCGAAGACTTATATAAGTAAATCAGGGAACATTTGATTAGTCAATAACAAAAGGTAAAAATAAAACATTCATTTGGAAACTATATTTATTATTAATCATAAGTTTATAACATGACTTAATCGTTACAAAACATTAAAGATTTATTTATAATAACGCCTTCGCCAGTTATCTGGGTAAGGACGGTCTCAATAATTTACATTACACTAGGCCCAGATATAATCAACATACACTCAACACAACACACACAGTGACACATGTGGTACTAACGTGACATATAAATACTTTCCATTAAAACCTCTTTGTAGTTGTGCATGAAGGCAAGAGTCGAGTATACATGGAACTACATTTGAAAATGGAACACATTTAAACTTCGAACGGCGCTTATATTTACATCCGCCGCAAGGAATGCTTTTTTTTATTTTGGAATACGAATATTTAAAAATACTGGCTACCTTTTTTAAAGCCGTATAATTGAAAAAAAACTTTAATTTTTTGCAAACATTAGTACAAGTATGCATGAATAAGATGTCGCCGATGCGGTTATGTTTTAAAGCGTCTATAAGCTCAAGTGTTTATAAATAGCGAGTGGTCATTGGTTAAAAAAATATTAATATATTTCATATATAATATAGCGGGGGGGGGCTCGATTCAGATAAAAAAATAAATTAAATAATTCTCACAGCCAATGTCGTAGCTGTTCCGGTTATACATAAAGAACGTGCTTCAAACAAATCTAATAAAGCTAGACACATTTTATAATAATTTATTTATATGAACAACGATGTAGATATGTCGCCATGAAATGATCTTAATATCATACACGAGAAACGATAACAAGCATATATAATGTGATTTAATTAAAATTTTCTATTTATACAATACTTCAAATTATATCTCTGACTACACAATACAATGTCCAATACAACGATGATACCGTATAATAATTACATATAAGAAAAGCGCCTTAAGTTATCTTTTTTTTTTTGACTCATTTTGCACTTCCGCTGTAAATGCGACAGTTTCTGTTTCACCTGCAAAAATAATAAATGTATGTGTTAAAATATCTTTTCATCATTGAAAAGAACTTTTTCAGAAAACCACTACAACTGAGAGGTATGTTTTATTAAATAAACGATTCTTTAGATACCTCAAAGGGTTATAAACAAGATTCAAATTAGTTACTTGTGTCAAGTTGTTTTATTTTGACTAAATGACACTATATAAATTTTTAGAATCAATTCGTCCCTTAGGCCTCGGCCTCGAATTTTGCGGGCAGCGGAGCGGCAGCGGCGGTGGCAGGATCTTACGCGTATAATCAAATGGACCGACCCTCGAATACAGCGGTGCCCGCTGCCCGCTAGTTTGGAGAACAGTATGCGTTGCCGTGCCGCCGCCGCCGCCGCTCCGCTGCCCGCAAAATTCGAGGCCGAGGCCTAAGGTAACAATTCCGCTCAAGTCGAAAATTGGCGGTTTATACATTTTAATGCAATTGGATAAAGCAGCACATTGCTCGTCGAACCGAAATTGTCAAAAAATGTATAATTACTATGTCTTAACCGCTAACTAGTGTATGTATTAAGTAGCAGTAGAAAAAAACACAGGTGGTTTAAATTACAAAATTTTTAAGTTGGTAAAAATTACGTAAGTGGTGTTGTAAGTTAAGGGACGAATTTTATTTTTGGTGGTTAATACCCGTTTGGTCTGTTCCGAATTTAAATTTTCTAAATTTAAATTATTTTTTAAATTTAATTTTAAATTATTTGATCTAAATATTTTTTTTCATATGTCGTCAGTGTAATGTACCAGGGGATCATAAGCCGCCGGGAGTCACCTAGTATCTATTGTCTCCGAGCCTGGAGGCGACGGCGGCGGCGGCCACCTCGCTGGCGGCGCCCTGCACGTGCGGCGAGCGGAGGATCTCAGACGTGAACTCCGCCTGCGCCTTCGCTAGGGACGCGCCCGTCGAACGGTAGATACGGTGGACCTGGACATTCATGCAATGTGATAAGGGTCTACTTAAATTGGTTAAAAATAAAATGATATACGTAGTAAGTTGTAGTTGTAGTGGGTATAGCATGATTGAATGGTGTGTTACAAGACTTGTACTAAGGTTTATGTAATACTGGAAACCAGTGGCGGCTGTACCTTAAGTGCACTCGTGCGCTGAACCACCAATTCAAAAGATTTAAAAATTACAAAATATTACTTCATCTTTATTTTTAAATTACCACTTTAATATTTATTTTTTAAACATACAAAAACGTATAAAAAATTAAATTTTCAACTTAAGTTCATAGAAATGTATAGTGCGTTTGATTTAAGCTGAGCTTTGCATTTGTATGAGTGCACACGGATAACACTATCACTAACACACAATTTGAAACAACAAATTTTTGAATGCCACGTTCTTTTCTAGTTTTAAACCGGTTTGTACTGCTTTCCTCCGCCCCGCACCTTCTGCACTTCACCCTTTGTACCGGTAGCAACGTTAAATGTTGAAAACGCAATGTCAAGTGAAGAAGAATTTGTGTTGTTTTTTCAAAATTTTATTACTTAATAAATTTTTTTTCATAATGTTTCCATTTGGACTTTTACAAGATATGCTTATTTTATTTTTAATCTAAGATAGATCTAGCACTTATGTTATGTATCTATTTAAAATATAATAAATTTAAATTCTAAAAGTTTTTTTTGTCTAACTCTACTTTTACTTTCACTCACACAAATACAAAGCTCAGCTTAAGTCTAACGGACTATACCGAGTAATGAGTCGGTTCTCGAGCGCCGCACGAGCGAACCGAAGATTACCGAGAGCACCCAATGTATGACGAATTAGAATTTAAAAGAATCAACTTTTCTCCGAAATACCATGCACTTGCTAAATGCACTTTCTGTGCTTAGTATCGAATAAAAATTAAACAAACAATACCCGATTTCAATAAAAAGGTTATTGAACATTTCGCTTCAGAAAAATGTCGTCGCATTGATTTAATATATAAAAAAATAAACATATTATATGTCAATTGGTTTTTTGTTGCATTTTCTAATTGTAATATTTTAGTAAAGTGCACCACCAGTTCGATAACCCACCAGCCGCCACTGCTGGAAACGCTGCGTTTTAATTTTGTGTATATAAAGTATAAAATTATGATAAGATTATTAATGTTTCTGAACCTTGGTGATGAGCATCACGTCAGCTACGACGGCGGTGATGAAGCCGATGGTCACTATGAGGGTCACGATCCCGGCGCCCACGTTGGTCTTGAACGCGCTCAGACTAGTCATGAGACCACTGGAATGTAAAATATATACTATTATCACATGTATACTCAAATAATAAGATAATTAGTAACATGTTTGTTGCTTTTGAAGGAGCTGATCTAAGGAATTATATGAGTAATATAAAAAACAGTTTTTGGTTTGAGTCAACATAGTTATGAAAAATATAAGGTTTAATCAGTTTGGAGGTTTAACTTTAAATATGTTGCTTTTAAATAAAAATAAATAATGTAACTATCAAATATATTGAGAACTCACTGGAACCAAAATAAATAAGTTATTTTTCTGACTACAAAACAAATTACACTCCTCAATATATTGTATATTTTTTTAAACTTCGAATATAATTCATTCTGTCTAACAGCAAAGGTTATTATTATATCTACTGTATGATAAAATAATTTTATTTTATTTTTAACACTGGCAAGTCAAAATACGATGAATAAAATACATTTGTTACATCGTCACACTCACCAGGAGCCGCCATTAGTGAAACCGATGGACTGTATCAATGTAATGATAGTCTGGAACAGGAATATGATGAAGAACACCATGAAGTTGAACGAAGAATCGCTCCTGAAGGCCTTGTAGATGGGTCGGTACCAACAGATGAAGCTGAACGGAGTCAGGAGCACGAAGTATAGTATGGACAGACCAAACACTGTGAAGTTACCTTCGGCGAACAACAACGACATGCCGCCTATTATGTTCAGGGCTAGCACCAGGGAGTGAACTGAAAATATATACAACACATCAATAAAACTGATGTTTAAAATTTCATACATATTACATCTGATTTGGTTTTAAAAGATACTTCAAAACCTATGGTGGATCATATAGAAAACGTATATAATGAGATCTAAACTTTTCGCGAGTATTCATTGAAATAAAACTAATATTTTTCGGATTTATTACGCATTTATAACTACATACTACTGACGTTTAGGTTTTTTTGCAACAACTGTGATCACGGGCAGACAAGATGTCATATACTTTCTGCATACAGTAAGAATTCCAGTATTAGGTTAAACTCAAACTGGTATTAGTAAGTAATAATCCTTTATAAGATTTGTTCATATTAAAAGCATGTTATTTATTCTGCTGCTCTAAGGATCTGATCTCTGTATGAAATGTATTAATCATAATAAATATTCGCTGGAATCTCCTCTTTGCTATCAATTAAAATAATTGTATTGAAACAGTATGGCAAAACATATCAGACTTATGTAAAGATTGATTGGATATTTTGAGTTATAAATTGGATGATAATGTCATGAAATAGTAATATAGGTTAATGTATGGAAGGATATTTTCGCCCTATGATTATCTGTCTCAAAAACTTTTGTATAGAAAGCAAAGGGCTGTTGAGATAGAAGTGTTTTGTTTTTCTTTGGACATGACAAATGCAGTCTATGTACCGAAGAAGATTAAATATAAAATGAGTACATAATAATCAATGTAATTTATATTATGTGTGAAACAATTATAAACTTATGCTTAATCAAGGCACTAGATAAAGTACCTTCTCCTACAATATACATGGGGTATACATATATATATGTAATATATTTAATTTTTCCAATAACTACTTGAAAGATAATCTTTAATATCTATTATTTTCTATGAGAACCAATGTGTAGGATTTAAGATGTTAATATATATATCATTATCCAAAAATAGTTTTTTAAATAGTATCATAGGATCATAGATATGCAAATTTATTCCACATGACATAATAAAATACAAGAAAAACAGCACTGGTTTATAAAACCTGATCTTATAAAGAATTACTTTACATTATGTAATATCTATTTATTACGTCATAAGGACAAATGAGAGGTTGAAGCATTTATACTAAAGGAATTTTGAAAAGCCTTTGATTAAAATGAACCTCAATTATCAAGGAAAAAAAAATTATACTAAGATATAAGGTGATTTAACAAATTAGTTATTTTCTTATAAAGATAATAGACCATAAACTACTGTTTTTAAAGATTTTCACTAAGTAGCATGTATTGCACAACCTGGTATATCACTAGGATCAAATTTAGATACCATTTTTATCATATTTGTAAGTAGTGTGACAAAGAAGTTTAAGTTGAATAATTGAATGAACAAAAACGACATACAGGAATAATGAGATCTAAGATTTTCGCGAGTGTTATTCATTTAAATGAAACTAATATTTTTCGGATGTACTACGCGATTTTATTTTTGTCCATCTGCCCGTGGTCACAGTTGCTGTAAAGTAGACAAAACGTCGGGAATATGTAGTTTTTTTTAATAAAAAATATAAGTTTCATTTAAATGACATACAGGAATACTTATTATTTAAATATAATCACACTCACACATCCACAGGTGATATAAATGTCGTACAATGCGTTGGAACTCAAGCGGTATGTCCACATTGATGTCCTGGTAGAAGCAGGGTTGTACAGGACAGAAAGCGGGGAGAGGCGGCCAGTTGTTCCTCCTGCCAGCAGAGCCAGCCCTAAGCTCAGCTTCGCGCCGTGCAAGCTCCTCCGCTTTTCGTTCTAACTCTTCTTGCCGTCTCTGGAGTTTAGACAAATTAAGTTATGAGCAATAGAAAAAATACTAAATAAATATGAGATACCAACAGACTCTATTTAGATGAGACTAAGATTTCTCTTAAATGATTTAGATCTTCCAACTGTGACATGTAGAACTCTATATTATATCTACTTGAAATTGTTTATATACTGACAATTATTGATGCACATCAACATTTAGTCCGCATTCTTATCAATATTACTTGGAATTGTTTACATTTTTATATATAAATGCACTCTTCTGTAACTTTTAAATAATATGTACAAAAAAAGTCTGTTGTTGTTATACATATTATAATACAGTGTAAATTCTATATAGTGACAGAACAAGCATTCTTGGACATTACAGCAAAATGATAAGAAAAAAGGTATTTTTGTATTGTAATGGTAGTAATAAACTATATTTAAAATTGTGCCACTAGATTCTAGATTATTATTTAAGTGCATTAATCATCTACATTAATTGTGTTTTAGTATGACGATGATTTTTTAGCAAATTATGAATTCCACTTTTATTGTTTTTATTACAAAAGATTGTAAATAAAAACTATTGCTATTTATGTTAATTATGGATATACTCAAATCTAATCTAAAGTGTTTGTTAAAAGTGACAAAGTAAAAGATAAAACAAGGAAGTAATCAATTACCTTAAGCTCCTGTGCAAGTATGTAAAGCAATTGTGTTGTTAGTTATTTGTTTACTAGTAATATATCTATTAAATTAGGACAAAAACTCAGAAAATTACTTATATTACATGCAGTATTGCATTATTTAGGATATTGTTATATAAATTGGTGCCTATTTAATCATCGTGATATGAAAAATAATGCTTACTTGAAAATCTGCTGTTGTGAAGTTTGTTGGTGGTTGGGTGCTCTGTTGATTGGTCGGCTGATACTGACCACTGATCGGCGGAGACACCGCCTGCATGATAGCTGGCTGTGAGGGCTGTTGAGCTGGCTGAAAATCATTAAACATTAATATTATTATCTCAATCTCGGGACGAATATAATTAACACATTAGTATGCGAATTAACGTAATTTTCTTATTTTTATCAATATTTAATAATAAACATAGTGACTAAATCCAGTTTTCCTCACAATTGAGTATGAATTTTTGTTAATATGTTAAAATTGATTGAAATCTTAAAACACATAACATGTCATGTTGGTTGTTCTGATAATGATATCTCTTATATTAGTACCGCTTTATCAAACTGGTCAATGACTAATAAACATAGCTTACTGTAGACGCATTTGGATTCTGTTGTCCATCGAAGGGATTATAATCGTCGAGGCCTCTCGTTGCATTGTTTGTACTCCTAGCGACTTGTTGTACTGACGGATCCTGGAGCACATACGACGTGAGTCAACATAGTTTAACATGGAAAAAAAATATTCCCAACATAGAAGAAAGCAGTCTTACCGCAAAAGGATTGTCTATGGCTGGATCGCCAAACGGATTATCTTCGAATTGCGACATAACTTAAATTTAATTACGCCACTTTATATTCTGATTTAACACTTGTAAAGGAAGGTTTCTTCTAAATTTTCACCATATATTAAGATAAATACAATCGATAGATACAATTGACACTTAGACGATGGTGACGAAATGACAGTTCGTGTTTCAGTTCTCGGTGTTGCCAATTTTTTTAGAAAATGTAAATTGTTAAGTACTTCACATTTAATTAGCAAAATTTAGAATAAAAGAACTAAAAATATGTATACATTACAATGTTACTGAATAGATATTCATGTAACTTAATGTATAATATGTATTAGTTAAGATGTATGTAATTTCACTAAAACCAGTATTTTTTATGATCACCGTACTTTCTACTAAAGAAATATTTATTACATACATTTAAAACAATAGCTATCGTACAAAAAAAATTACAACTAATCAACACAAACCATACTTAATCTTTGTTAAGTAAATTGGATGTAACTAGGAGAATAAAATAATAGGAGTATAAAACAGTTATTTTCTAAATAGCCTATAAATTAAAATACATAATAAGATGAAACTGAATATAAATCCACATACACTGTCCGGTGTAATTTTACCGTCGTTATTATTGAATTTACACCTTTACTTGATGGTTTAGAACATATATTGCAAGTGAAGCAATATATTTAATAGCAATTGTGACGCAGTTATTACGTAGTGACTAGTGAGGTTAAAATCTTTATGTTGGTCTAACAACAGCGAAAGTGATTTTGGCGGTTGGTAGAAACGGTTGTCAGTTTATAAGACGGTTCTGTCAAAGTAGGCAGCTGTTTACGTTTTGTATGATTATTTTGCGATCGTTTTGCATAACTTTTGTTATATCTTATTGTTTTTAAGTAATTATTTTTGTTGTGAACATTATATAGTGACATTTATTTGTGATATATTTATTAAATCGAACCATGTCAGATGTCAAAAGGTGAATAAGCTGTGTTTTGTGTTGAACGTGTGTGACAGTTTTTATATTGTTTGGGATTCGGTGCGATAAACATAAACGGTAAGTGGTTGTTTCCTTTTTATTTATGAATTTGCTTTTTATTATTTTTATTCAGTATGAAGTTTACGGCAATAAATTAACAAATCGTATTTACATCCGCTTCACTTTATATAAAGAAACAATGTAATTACGTTAATAATTTTGTTTATTTCGCTTGTAATTAAACATATCCATTTAATTTTCATTCGGAATAACTGTAACGTATATTTCAAAGTTTGGTTCATGTGATGCGCATGCGTCTGCGCGTATACAGACTGACTCTAGTACTTGGCGAAAGTTGTTTGCTCTTGATATCAAGGAAGTTTGAGATTATATTAACTATTACCTAATACTAAATATTACTATAATTTCCATCGTTAAGTATTATTATTATTATTAAGAGTTAAGACCTTTTTGACACATACCAAAGGTTCTTGTAGGATTTTGAAACTGATTTTGGAAAGTGAAAGTACAAATACTTAAAGTAAAATTAATGCAGATGAAACATATTAAAGAATGTTGAAGAAGAGCCAAAAAAAAAGTAGTCATTAATTATTTATTATTTATAATAAAAATAAAGCAAGAATATGCATGCATTTATAAATCCATTATAGCTATGTCTTATTATTAATCTTAAAAAACAAAATTTATTTTATTTTTATAGCATAACTAATTGATATTAAATAACTCGTATACTTTATAACTGTTAACAATAGAATATCCTTATTTATATTTCCTTGTAAATATACAAATAAATTATTAAACAATTTATTGGAATAATTCTTTAGAGTTTAGAACCGATTCAATTATTTGAATTGTATTTAGTGTGAGTGTTGTTTAACATGTTTATTGTTCTGAGAATTTCATTATCTCCTTGGTTAGTATGAATTATTTACTTGTTTTGGTCCGTGATTTCATAGGTGCGGACTTTGGATTTTGTGTAACAGATAAATATATGAATTGTGGTAAAACAATAGACAGGCTGGCCAACTAGCACTGATATTTGAAGATCTTAAGTTTGGAACATATGATACAATAAATAAAATATATTTTTTATGCCCTGATTATGAAGTAATCACATGGAATTTAAGCATAAGTCAGAGCCTATATCTTATTTTGATGTCTAGTCTTAAAGTTTCATTAGAATCTGTTAAGCAATTTTTGCGTCAAAGATTAACAACCATCTATATATAATCACAATTTTTTGCATTTATTATTACTAAGATAAAATTATATATTTAAAAAAAAATTTTATCTTTAACTGTTATCAATTACCAAAATATGTAGAGCTTGTTTTCTCACAACAATAGATAATGAAGGTCAATGGCTATGATAAGAATGAACTATAGGTTAATAGATCTTTGATAAATTAAAATGTAACTGGAAGATTTAATACTCAGGTGGATCATATGATTTGATTCAATTTGGTATAAAGAATTATTAATACCAAGTGTGATCGGTATAAATACTTGGGGAACCATTTAATTATACTATTATCTTGATTTATTCATAATTAATTTGTGTGTATATTTTTATTTTAACTAAATTATCATATTTCATTAAAAATAATGTTGCATAGTATGTTATATATTTATTTTTTATGGTGTAATATTAATGATATTTTTATGTGCTGCAATAAATGTAACGAGTACATAAACTGAAAAATGTAAATGTACCTAATGTTGTTTATTTATTATATGCAGTAATATACCTGGTTTGCTTGTATTTTTAATATTACTTGTAATGTTTTTCAATTTAGAATTGATTGGACCTCAAATTGTGGAAAAAGGTAGTGAGTTGTTTTTCATGTTTGTCTTAATATAATTTATAAGATCATAATGCTTCTGAGAAATGATATTTCTACATGAGTTTACTATTAAAAAACTAATTCCTAAAATTATCATATTTTGACATGCTTTAACATTACCAGATTAAAAATGTATAAGATCCAAAGGGTCATCAAAAAAAGTATTCCTCATATTTGCTGTAAAACTATGATCACCAAAATTTAGATCCTTCCTGTTTCTTATAAAAGAAATAGTACGCCAGGGATTCATTTTGAACCAGTTGTAACAAAATTAACTGTAATTATGGTTTATGTTATGTTGACAATATAATATATTAATTTTGTAGGAATGTCGGTGACTGCATACTTTAAAAAATAAAGAATTTACAAATATCTCCAGGAAAAAATTTCATCTAACATGTTAACTTTAATTTAATCAGTGACTACTTTTAAGACCAATATGGCAAAAAGGGCTAAAAAGAAACCACATTTTTTGATAGAACACTGAAAAAATTTTAAATGCTATGAAAACATAATTTAGTATTTTAAAATCTTTGTTCTGGAAACGAAATACAGAAAAATAAGATTAAAAAAATAACTATCTGTGTAACTAACCAATCTATTTAGTCTTTTTTTTAAATTTTTGATCACGACATTTAGTGCTAGAGGTCTTTTTATAAAAGGACAAATGATGACCTTCTAGATATTCTAGAAGGAAGTCCTGTACTTTATGTTTATCTTAACATATCATTTGGTAATTATGTATGGCCATGACTAATCCTGTCTATCGCTGATTTTACAATTCATAATTTTTTTGTTAAAATAAAACAAATACAGGACCCTTTTTGTTGACTTTTCCGCTTTTTTCTATGATATATCGTAAAAGTACACGAAGGAGATTTTTCAAGAGCTCTTCATTTCTATCATACTTGTATGAATTAATAGTGTATTTGCCTCATAAGTCAAGAGATCGTTATGTATCATATTATAATTATATTGTAATATATAATGGATATGTTCAATTCTGCATGAAGTATTGTTCTCATGAATGAGATGCTTAATTGAACACCAATAAACATCGACAAGCGCTTGACTGGACAAGTCAAGAATCAAGGAAGGACACGGCTAGGATTAAAACTAGCCACATAGCACTAAGTTTGAATAATGATATTATCATAAAATTGTCTGGGGTTTTCTTAAATCAAACTTCAAATCAAATTAACTCTCTTAACTCATAAATGCTTTACGCAAAATGTGTAACCCTCTCGAACATAAATGTTTAAATTTTATCCATTCTATGGTTTATGCAATAATAGTCGTATAATATGTACAGTTACATCTACCATTTCATACACACAATAGCCGAAGGCTACAGTAATTATGAATAGCCGTCGTGGGTATTGAATATTGATATAATGTCATTACTTCTCATGTACTCGTAACGACTATCCTAATAATGTTTTAAATGCGAAAGTTTGTTAGGATGAATTTATGTATTGATGTTTGTTGCTCTTTAATTCAAAAAATTATAAGTAGATTTTTATGAAAATTTTCAGTAATGTAGTTAAAGCACCAGGGTAAAACATAGGCTATAATTAATATCAGAATCCTGTGTAGTTACTGAATGGTCAAGGCTTACTTGTATTATGTGCAAAGTCACGAGATGATAGATATAGATGTCGTTGCTAGTTCGTTACTATAAACATTGTCTCTCCACATATATATATATATATATATATATATGTATATATGTATATCTTTCTGACTCTAATTCCGAAGTCCACGCAGATGAAGTCGCAGGTGAACAGAGTTTTTATATATTTTATTTCTACTACGATTGTTGTTTATAATTACTTTTATTTTGCAAGTTTGTTTAACCATGTTATAGAACTATAGTTGGTATAATACCATGTCTGTTCATTTCCACGAAAGATATAAAAGTAACAATGTTAGGTGTTCCGGTAAAGGAACTTTGTCTAAGTCTGCGTTTCCTTTACTGTCTTTGTAGCAAAGACTTCTTTGTATATTTAAACTAAATATGAACATGTCAATTTTAATCTTTACACATTGTCAGTTTAGGTTTGCGTGTGCATCCTTATTCAGATTTCATCTGATCGTAACCATTGCTGTAATAAATATATGGAAAAAGTTTCATACCAATCCATAAATTAGTGACCAAAAGATTGACACTGGATAGACCGTCCTAAA